GTGACCATGCGAGACGAAGAACTGGTCCCGCTCTGTCCGTTCGTGGATGGAATCCATCCATTGCGATGCGGGGGAAGGACTGCGCGGGGGGAAAGACGGTGGGGGAAAAAGGCATCGGAGTGAAACGGAGAAAGCGGTGAGCGAGGGAGAAGCGGCGCTCTGGCTGTCCCAGTTCGAGGCATGGGGGTAGATGACCTTCATTCTCGGGCCAGAGACCTGCGCGGTGTGCCTTCTCGCGCGAAGGCGTATTGCGAGTGCTCGGATGATTGTATGATTTATTTTATTATTATTATTCTCGCAGCGTTTCCCGGGGATGACTCCCACAATTGTGTTACTGTTTTTTTTTTACTCACGTAACTCGTAACTTGCGGATTCCATCATTAAATTGAAAGTTATTCGCTTTATAATGAGATTTGTTTCCAATTCTAAATAAGTCAAAAATTTTTTTTCGATACAAAAAAGAGTTCTATCGTGGTTTATAAGCCACTGACCATGTTTTACCGCTTCGAGTGACGTTGTACATTTAAGGTGTGAGTCGTGTTATATTTTACTTGAATATTTTCCCATGGTCTTCCTTCCAACTGCTGGTGTCGCGGTTGATGGATGCTGTTCGCGGGTCGCAACCGGAAGTGTCGCCCGGGTCGCTCACGGGGTCACCCTTCCTCACCCTGACCCCTGAGGCCATCCAGGCGGAGATCAAGAGCTGGGTCATCAACAAGGGGCTCGGCGAGACTCCGCTCCACCGCGCCGCCCGACTGGGATACTACGTAAGGGGGTCAATTCTGTGTTGGGGTTCGATTGGTTGATTCTATTTTGTCAGAAAAAAGCCCACAGAGTTCAATAGTGTGCATTGAAATACCCAGTAAATACTTCTTTTTCCCGAGAAATGAATTTTTCTGTGGATAGGATGTTGGATAGGAAGGAGAAGGAAAAAAATGAGCTGGATCCTTTGAACCGAGACGCTATTAGAGTAAAAGTTGGTTTCTTTCTCTCGGGAGACGAAAGATCGTCGTAAACGGAATTCGCCCATGGAAGGCAATGCTTTTCTTTTCCTCGTGAGAAACGTCTTGGGTCTCTTCTCTATTTTTTCTCTTTGCGAGAGCAGGATAGACTACTCTAGTTGAATCATAATGGAAGGAGCCGAGAAGAAGGAAAGTGTGTTGGGATTATTTTTTTTTAATACCGGACATGAGGTTGCATCGCCAGGAGACGAATCAGAGTCGAGTAATTACCGTTGATTCGAGAAACGTGATGCCGAGTTGAGACCTTGTTCCCCAGGACATCGGGCTGTACTGCCTGGAGACGAAGCTGCAGGAGGTGGGGCATGCGGGACAACGCCGGGTACACGCCGCTCCACGAGGCGTGTACGAAGGGCCAGCTGGGGATGGCGCGACTCCTGCTCCGGTACGGCGCTCAGGTGAACGCCTCCCTCCGCCAGGGAAACATCAGGTCCGTAACGCCTCTCATTCCCTCAATTTCTGCCCTTTGTTTTGCGGTTCCATTTTTTATTGTGCGTGCGTTCGTGATGCTTTTTTTTATTGTTTCACGCTTCGTTTCAGATTGGTGGCACTTTTTTAATATGTATTGGGTATTAATTTCTCTTTCGTGACTGACTTTCTTGGTTGTGGAAGGGTCCTGATGCCTAAACTTTGTATGTGAGGAGACGAATGAGCTTATATTCAATTTCCAGCCGCAGGAGAATGTGGGTTCTACGTGGCACTAAAAAAAAAAGTGTCCAATAATTTTTTGCTAATAATGACTACTTATTATCAGATGAACGAACGGAATTTCTTAAATATTGTATGAAAAGAAAGTGAGGAAAAGTAAACTGTACAACCCCGCTGCTGAGTTCGCTTCAACCACTGAAGTGAACGGAAATTCTGTGCGTGTCTTACCAAACAACCAGAGACAGAGGGCGTTGTGTTTTCCCGTTGTCGCTTAATTTGATGAGGAAATGTTTGACCACTAACGGAAATGAATTTCATCTGAATTGGCCAAAAAAAATTATTATCAAAGTAGGTGGCGAAGGAAGAACAACACCACCTCTGTCTCTTTGATAAGCCACGCACAAACTTTAGGATATATTATACTAGGGCATATATTTTTGCCTATTACATTTTGTACTTGCATAAAATCTGATGCAATGCCTTAATTTTCTTTAAATTATGCATTTCCTATTTTTGCTTTATTCACATGCAGGTTTTAAAGAATTGCGTCGATTTTATAAGAATTATTGTCATTATTAGGTTAAATAATTAGGTACAGTTTTTTAAACACCATGTAGAAGCAACTTCCAGTAAAGGTGTTTTCAACATTTTGGCTAAATGTTGCCCTTTGTGCTCCTTGATGTGGGATTCAGCTGCTCGAAAAAATTAGCTTCGGAATTTTGCTTGAAGCTATGCCCGGCGCTTAAATCCAGCAACCGAAGTCTGAGAATGTTTGGCATTTGGCTTTTTGCCACGTGTCATCACTCCAGCACCTCACGTGCATTCTAATAAAGGAAAGAGTGCCATTTATGAGCCAATTTCCCGTTGGTGTTGCATCACAGAAGGCATTCTGGTATAGTCAATTCGGCAGCAAAAGACACACTTTGTCCAGGATAAAGTATTTGAGAGAGAGCTGTCTATCTGACCTGACTGGTCATCGGGGGGCTAAAGGTTAATGACAAGCGACAGTATTGCCAAATGAAAGACGGCACTTTTCAGTCAGCGGAGAGTGTCCAGCTGCTTCAAATTGAACGTTAGAAAGTCGGCAACCCTGATTTTCAAGGAAAATCCTACCATTCACCTTGTATCAGGTGAGGAGATTAAGTGATATTTAATGTCCGACCCTTGACATGTTACGTCGAAGCCGCAAGTGTGTCTTTAGAGGCCGAATAGACTATACAAAATGACGGGTCAAGGATAATTTCAGTTAAAATGTTCCATTGTGCTAAGTCGAGACAACTGTCTCAATGAATGCATGTATCTGTAGCCATTCAAAGATTTAGGCAATTAATGCCCAAAACATGCTCTATTGAAATGAATGAGGGTTGTGGAACTTGTGCGAATGAAAGCTTTTTTTTTTCTCCTTCAGAGCATAAAGTACTGAATGTCAGACTTGGAGCAGTGGGAAATGGCAAAGTCGCCTCTTAGTTTAAGTATGTCCCAGAGTGTCTGCTTTCACTCCTCAAGTGTTTCAGATTGGTGGTTTTTCAAAGCTATCTGATATAATGATGTTCAGCTATTTTGTGGTGACTAAAATGCTCCCTACCTCTGCAAATTATTTGCTGCAGTGGCAGAAAGAGTCTCTCACCACCTCTGTTTTTAGCTGTTAGGAGAGAAAAAAAAAGTGTGTGTGTTTTTTTTCCCATAGTGGCTTTCATGATGGATGTATGGTTCTAATTCTTGCAATTGTTTGTTGAGTGATATTATTTTTCTTGGAATATGTGGATTGAATCCATGAGCTTCTTCATTTCTTCTATGTTTGCGGCTTGATTCATTAATGAGTGTTTTCATCTTGAGTATCTGTTGTTGTGTTCCTCAAGTACATCCCTGACATCTTTGTCGGCAGGCCAATCCATGGGGCAATCGAGAACGGGCACATGGAGGTGGTCCGGTTGCTCCTCTCGTACGGGGCAGATCCACTGCTCGGGACTTATTCGGGCCTGACTCCGGTTGCCTTGGCGAGGGAGTCGAGGGTCATGCAGTCGCTCCTGCAGGACCATCTGGCTGACGTCCAGGGGAAACCCGCCCCTCCCTGGCAGTTTCCCTCCACTCTTGGTGAGGAGAGCCTCTGTCCTCTCAGACTTTCACTTTGCTTTGTGGAATCCACTGTACGAGTGACACTTTCACAGGTGTTTCTTGGTCTTGGTATAGTGCAGCTCTGTGCAAATATTATAATGTAGGTTTCAGCAAATGCCAGAGTCCCCTGTCAGTCTTGCATATGCATCATCTCATGACTTGAAGTACTGTTGTCCCTGGTCCTGGAAAGCACATCTCATGTACTGTGGCAGTCAGTCCAATTGATGCCCTTTCTTTTGGAGCCTTTAAGTTAAAACAGGAAGATTGGGTTTTCTTCTGATGTGTATTGGAAAATGTCTTAGACATTTTTGAGTGTGGATTTGGTTGGTTTGGTGTTATAAGCAGACAAGAGGAGTTCATTGTAAATTTTGTTATGGCTAAGCCAGGCCTTCTGCTGGAATTCTGCACCTTTTCTTTCGTGAAAGCACTCATTGAGATCTGTCATTGTCTTGTTACAGTTTACTTCATTAATGAAATCAGAATGATGGTATTAAGCTCCATTCATGTTGCAGCTTAGCAAGTGCACACTTTCCAAGGTTCACAGTTTTCCCACGAAAAGTGATAGTTATTTGATTTGCAATTTCCTGCTTGAAAATGTATGGCCTGTTGCAGAGACTAATATTTCACAAATTCTTGTCTTCAAAGAAATGAAATGTTATGTGACAAAATATGAAATGGGTATTTTGGGCAATTGAGAGTAGTAAAATACAAAGAGAGAGAGGTGTGTTGAGTGGTGTATGTGGGCAGATGATCGGCTCTTTCTTTGAGTCCCCTCCGTGTCATCTGTGATGGGATACAACCCTGTTTTTTTTTTAGGAGGAAGAAGGCTGGAGAATGTGACTTCATTCTGGATCATCTCATTTTATTTCTTTTGAAACATCAGAGTACAGACTTTTGGAGATTTGGTTTCATATCATGTCATATCAAATCTGGATTTATTTATTATTTTTTAAATTGCACAATTTTTCTTTTCATCATTTACCATCTTATTGATTTGGATCCCTTTTAAGTTTCTGGTTTGTATCTAATTTACTTTAATTTAAATGGAATGTGCTGCTTTTTGTTCAACATCATGAGCGGAAAGAGTTGACTTTTTCCTTTTTTTGTGATGCATATATACATGGTTTTTGGATGAATAAATAAATGTGCCAAATTCATTGGAAGCTATGGGATCAGTCGCATGTCATTGTAACAATGGTCTGGCTTTTCTAAATGGGTAAACAGTTTCCTGTTTTAGACTTGTTGGGATTGCCAATAGATTCCTAGTGTCAATGCCTGGATTATTGCTGTTAAAAAAGGATATGAACAGCAATGCAAAAGTTAGAAAAAGATTCTACCCTCCAGAATCATATCAATTTCTCACCATGGCTTGTCTATGTGAGTACCAGATTACAGTGTAGATCAGTAGCTATGATTCTTTCCATTGAACATTCGTTCATGACCAGACAACCCACCTTGACACATGAGTAAATTTTTAATTTTCTTGATTGCTTCAAAGCTCATTTTTGTTACCTTGTTTGTCTATGGCGAATATATATTTGGATATGATTGTAACTGATGATATTGCTTATTATATACGTGAAATTAGTCATTTCTTAATAATCAATTGAAATTATAAGTAAGGAGGAACTGATTTCACTTTCCCCATTGGTATACATTGATGAATGTATATAATTCCTTTCCACAACACTCTGCTCAGATGATAGTATATTTATTGGGAAGCCTGACAACTCTATTCTATTATGTATTACCTTCAAATGAATGTTTAAATGAAATATTTTATATGAATGCAGTGCCATCCTGGTCCCAATGTCCTATTATACCTGTGGCTTGATTCTTTCAAATAAGTTCTTACATTGTTCTGGATCTATTGTGTTCATTGGATGCCACTAATAGCATTTTTGTGTACATCTGCTCTTAGGATCAGACTCGGAGACGGGATTCGATGTCTTCGATGCCGTAGACCTCCCTCCTGATTCTCCAGACCAGGATGACCTGTCTTCTATGTTCTTCGAGACCAGTGAGGTCCCTATGATAAACACCTACCAAATCCTGGAGGATGCATGTCCAGATCCCTTCGTCCTACTTTCTGACTTATCGTCACGGCTGGGTCAGGATCCGTTCAGTAATAACCGAGCGGTAGGTCTAACCCTTTGCTCTCTCCAGGGTGTGCCCCTCAAGAACGCCTCCTGTACCACGTAGGTCAACCCCTACTCCTGAGGTCACCAGTGACCACACCACTGACAAGTGCGATACGGTGACTCTCTGACCTTTGACGAACAACAGGTCCACCAGTCACATACTGCTGGTCCCTTCGCTTGGATCGTACACTAGAGCGCCAGCCAGATCCCAGGAGGCTGGGCACGGTGTTGGGCCACACCCTGAGCTGTTGAATCCGCAGTGGTGTCAGAGTAGATCTTGAGTGTTTGAATTAATTTGCAATCTTGAGTTGGTGCCTTCCACTGCTGTGGTTGGGTTGGTCATGTTCTCATGCAGAGGAACTTCCACTTTCTAATTGAAATTCAAGAAATTTCTTCCTGGGTAGTCACATAATGATTTTGCACGTGCTTTTCTATTAATACATCCAGTGGAATCTGGATGTATGTGAGTGCATTATACAGTATGTGCTTGCACAGTATTGGAAATTTATTGCTCGTATAAGCTTTTATTCAGATAACTTTTTAAAAAAAATATCTAATATGTGATTATATATGAATTATTTCAATCTGCCAAGGATAGTATAATTCCATTTTGGTGATTACTTTTGAGAGACTTTGATCATCCAGATCAATTAGTAAATTTGTTGTTATTATAGAGTAAGTTGAAAAAAAATTTTTGGATTCATTTGAGATCCATTATAATTCAGATTCCATTAAAGTTTTCGGTCAACAATTTCTTTCATATGAGGTTCAATTTGAATTAATCTTTTCCTCAAATGTATTTGCCCATTTGCTTTGGCTAATGAGTTTGAAATTGATCATAATCGAGGAAGAACTTGGTTAGAAGTCTGACCCATGGGATCCAATCACTGCAGTGGAACATATCTGGAAAGAGTTTTTATCAGTCAGGTGATGGCCAAGGTCGATATCCTATCTTCCATCGATGCTTGATTTTGCATGCGAAAACTGGGTTCGATGTGACGTCTGTCCCGATCTGTGATTCCGAGTGACAGTTCCGTCGGGTGGATTTAGGAATCCCGACAACCTGTGATGAACGTTTNTGTGATGAACGTTTCGATATCGAACGACTATAGGCGTACTCGAAATGTGTACAGTGTGAGCATTATTTTGTTTTGTTTGTTTTTTTTTTTCATTTTTACCTCAAAGAGAGAATCCATTCAGTGTGATTGAATGTATTGTGAGAATATGGAAGTCTCTGTTGTGATGCCCGATGTTTCGGGGCTCCTGAGAAGGGGAATAGATTCGTATTTACCACTGAACCCATGCCTGCTCTCCTTTTATTTCCTCTTGGTTTGAAGCTCCATTTTGGAATGTGGTCTCATTCCTGCCTATTTCAGATCCCTGAATTACAATGAAGGACATATTCATGAAGAATATCCTTCTTAAAGGGCTCTCATTTTTGTTAAAGCAATTATTTCAAAAAAATTACTTTGAAGAAAAATATTCTTTAAATGTATATTCTTGCCCGTGTGCCTCACATAAATACCTTCCCTGGATGAGGATTAACCCATTTCTGCACAGCGTGACGAATAGGGTGTCCCAGAAACCCTATCACCAAGTCTTGTAGAACATTGGGTCATTATTTTTCTTTTTATGGAAATGAGTTTTGTATCATTCCAAAGCCTAGACCTTTTTTAACATCTCCTGTCATGCCTGATGGTTTGAGAGGATTAGTTGTAAGGTGTTTTGAAAGAAAAAGTGTGTGCTGCAAAAACTCTAACATCATTGACATTGTGAGTTCCATTCACTTAGTGTCTGTCCAAATTGGGGGCAGGGTTTCTGGAATGCAGGGATTAAAAAAAAGGGGATTCAATCTTTTAGCCACTGAAACTGGTTCCGATTATGTTCATGACACACATGGCATCACTGGAGAAAGTATATTTCTGGCTAATGTCCAAGCTTATGATATTCAGTAAGGTGGAAATGGCACTGATGAGGTGAGGGATATGAGGGGTTTTGAAGCATACAACTTATTGTTAAAAAATCCTCAGAACCAAAAATCAGAAACCATCACGTTCATCAGCAGTCATTAGGAAGGGTCTTGGCTTTTGAATGATACAAAACTCATATCCATCAAAAAAAATTAGGACATAATTTTGTACAAAACTGGGCAAGGTGTGTAGGACACCCTGTGTATAACGTTTATAATTTTCTGCCCCAAGTGGAAAGCAAATAATAGAAATGGAATTGTCGCTTCCAGTCCTTCATCCTAGACAACAATTATTCATGTTTCAACTAATGGGGAATATGCTGAGCTACACTCAAGCAATGGTTTTAAAAAACTTTATGGTTAGCAAGAAGGAAACAATGGTGTGAAGAGTAATATTTCACTAAGAAATGGGTGAAAGGAATTAGCAGCAATTTTGTAAAAAGAGCATGTTAATAGTGTAGTATTTCAATCCTACACTTTATTTAATGTATTTTTGCCCACAATGTAACCTTTAGAGTCTAATATTTTCCATCTGGTGAGAAAAATTGGACTGGAACTTGATATGAGCGTGGAAAATGCAGGGTTATCGTTGACATAGATGTTTGTGGATTTTTGATATTGTGTTCTCAGGAAGTGAAACATATGGTCCATACTCGAAATATCTTTTTAGAGTCAACCTTTTGGTTGTCTAGAACAGCGGTTTCCAGACTTCATTAAATTGCGGCCCACTTGCTGACGCTCAAAAAATTTGCGACCCATCGTAAACCAGAAGGAGGAATTTTGAATGTAACTATGATGTGAAGAAAACAAATCACCCTTTCCTGCAGGGCATGGTCAATCCTCAGCAAATGCAGTGATTCTTTATACTGGGAAAATTTACGCGACCCACCTCGATGCCTCTTGCTACCCGCTAGTGGGTCATGACCCACAGTTAGGGAAACACTGATAAAGAGTAATTTCTTCTCATTTTTCAATGTGGTTTAAAGTAACTCTTTTCTTAGTGCTGATGAAATCACATAAAAGACTCCAGGGCACTTCAAAAGTTCATGCGAAATGATGTTAAATATTGCCTGTTGTAAATGCACTTTTTTCATAGTTTTTCAGGGATTTCATTTGATTCAGTAATTCTTTGAAAACCTTTTGCCAATAACACATGAAATATACATAAAAAAGAGGCCATCCTGCAAGTCAAATGACCTCATTAAAATTAATATCTGAGAATACCAATTTGGAATGGTTTTGAAAGGCCTGTAAACCAGTGAAACGGTGCTTTCAAGTCATGCAATAATCTTTTGGTGATGATGTCACTAACACATCATTTTTAAAGTTCCTTCATTAATATTTTTCATCATCTCTTCTCAGAATCTGACAAGACAATATATTTTTTCTACTAGGGAATGGGGTACCGAAGAAGCCAAAACATTTCTTCACACCAAGAATTTGATGCATAATTTTTTTGTTAAAGGCAGGCTCTCCCATCCCAAGTTTCACTTCTACGACAGCATCTGTCAATTTTTCGGTCTTCTGTAAACATGGAGTTCACATCCATCATGTTTACTTCGTCATTTCTGAAATTGGACAACCTACGTGGGACTAGTTCTCTAGGTTATGTGATCACAACTGAACCTTAAAATTTAGTCTTGGACAAAATTCATATTGAAGTAAGATTGGCAAGTTATGGTTTAATCTCTTTAAAATACAATCTTTTGTAGTTGAGTGCTTTTGGAAAACGTACCAAACCAACATCTGCAGATCTCTACAGGTGAAGATGATCTGCCTTGAAGGCGACCACTTCTGTCCTCATGGTACGCTTCATCGTTTTGGCCAAGAAATGTGTAAAAGTCCCAAAATCTCAAGAATTCCTTGAAAACAACACCAAAAATAAAAAGGATCAGGTTATATTTAATAGGATTTGGCAAGAATTTTTGGAGTGCCTATCATACTATGGAACCAAAGTGTTAGGGCAATAACAGGCTGTAATCCTAGAGTTGCTAATTCCATCAACTTCTTGCTTCCTTATTTCCATGATTTTTTTTTATTTATTGACGTGAACCTATTCATGAGATTTGAAAATTGACCCTATTTAACATGTAATTATTTAACAGTTGCTTAGGCTATTTAAGAACTATGAACACCAAGCTGAAAGGAATGAGTTAGCTACAGGCATAGAGGCTCTGGAGCTTCAAACATGGAGATATAGAAGTAGCTTTAAAGATGTCCCAGGCTTTATGATGTCACCTTCCTTGATATGACTTGTTTCAATCCTGCTACATCTGTTCTGGGTTCAATGTAGATTGATACAAAATTGTGGGCATTTGTGAAGACTGGAAACTTTTGTGAAATTCTTTTGGGAATGAAAGATTTTAAAGGAGTTACACATACGTCTCTCTAAGTACTGGTAGTTATAGTGTTAAACATGTTAGAGGGATAGAAAACACTTTTGGGCCACTACGTCAGTGATCACTCAAGCTCATGGAGATGATGCAACTTCCAAAACGTGTGTCTTTAAGCATGGGTCTTTCCTGTCCAAATGTGAAAGGAGGTGAAATGTAATTGTCTCTGGGTCAGACTCTTGTGGATAAATAAGGAATTGTATTCTCTTTCTTTATTTCTGAGAGTCTCAGGGTATAAGGAAAATAGTTGATTATCTGAAAGGTAGAAGAAAATTGCGATTATCTCAGAGAAAATTTGGCTACCTTAATACCGGACTCACTGAGGTTGGGCCTAGGCCAAACCAACAGGATGAAGAAACAGCTGGCCTAAGATGGGCTCTTTATTATGTAAACTAATGTCACTCTTTGACTCCTGAACTCAAGGAATTTCAGGATTTCTCACTGATGATGAGGAAAGTTAGCGTGATAAGGGATTAGTCATAACCTTCCAGAGCCATCTCCACAAGGACTGTAGGAGAGAATGACCTTAAGAGATTGAGGCATGTGTTCCGCCATCATCTGTCCGGATGTCCAATCACGGAACCTCTATATTGAAATTGATCGAATGACCATACCATTCTTACTGCATCTCATCGCATAAAATATATTTGTGACAATTCAATAAAAAAAATAAAGGGTTGTCACACCGACATGAAAGAAGAACCAATGCTGAATTGAACATGACTCCACGCCGATATCTCGCAACCGTGTGGGATGGGACTGGAGCCCACACGCGAAGCTGAATGAACGAAATGTAATTTCTTTCTCTCTTTCTACTAATGCCATGCATTTGAAATGAATAAAAAATGTTACATCATCTGTGACTTACTCGTGAATATCTTTCTTTTGGT